CAAAATCACTTATCCAAGTGTCTCACAAACTCAAACAGGAACGAAACTGAATTCTCCATACACGAATGACGACCCACGAACAAATGATGAACGTTGACTTCTGCAACCAGGGCGTGGCACCATCAGTCCTTTCATCTCCAGAAGACCACACTAACAAGCCCCAGCTGCATTGTTATTCCTGCATCCCGACTCAACTCACAGCAAACTTCTGCTGAGTCACAACAACACTGTATACTCTTCTCCTGATGTAACAGTTAAATATATATTTTATTGAGACTGATAAAGGCTGAAGCTTTTGAAGAACCAAAAGTTACCTTAGAAAAATGGGATATTATACTTTTTTTTTCTGTGGGTTTTCAAGCTTTTTCACAGAACAGGAAACAATATTTTCTTATTCTAACTTATTTCATGTGTTTATTTATCAAATTTATACATTACACATGTCACTATTGAGTGGGTCTAAACAGCTTTAATAAATTTAAAGGAATTTAAATTATTTTAAAATTATTTATTAAAGTTGTTTTTTGAATAATTCTAATGATGAAGTTAGATATATGTAGTGATATGCCTTATGTTCTGAAGTTGTTGTTGGTTATTAAAGGGTTTGGCTCCTAATGTTGTTTCCTCTGTTAATATTTTGGTTTTTGAAGGAAATATTTCTAGAACAATACTTGCAGTCTTAAGATATTAAAAAGAACTAGATTGAATATTGATCTACAAAAATCACATTGAATTGATTCATAGCAATTGTCTTTTCTTCTCCCAAAGGTTAATAAAGATGTCCAGTCCTTACATGAACAATCTCATCATTCTTGGGGGAATGCTGTCCTATGCCTCTATATTCCTTTTCGGCCTCGATGGATCTTTTGTTTCTGAGAAAACTTTTGAGACTCTTTGTACTGTAAGTAATTCTGAGCCATTTTATATAAAATTCGTATTTCTATAATTTTTTTTCTATACCTTCTTTGCAAATACTTATGCATTTCAACTTTGAAACATTGCAATTTGGATTAAGACATCCAAATATTTGGAAAAGTTACAGAGGACTTTCAGAAACCAATATATTTCACACTGTTTAAATGTTAGTGCAACGTTAATAAAAGAAGGTAGAAGCCAGAGGTGGGTTCCTACCAGTTCACACCAGTTTGATAGAACCAGTTCGTCAAATCTATCGAACCGGTTAGAAGAGCTCCACCAGTGGACCTGGAAAGCAGACCACACCTACAGAAGAGGTTCCAAAAATTTTTGAAACCCACCACTGACACACACACACACACACACACACACACACACACAGAGAGAGACTCACACAGAGAGAGAAAGAGAAAGAGAAAGAAAGGAAGAAAGAAAAAAGGAAAAAAAAGAAAGAAAAAGTGTGAGAGAGAGATGAAAGAAAAAAAGGAAAAAGGGACAGAGAGACAAAAGGAAGGAGAGAGAGAGAGAGAACACACGGCCGGCAAGCCACTCCCACCAGGTTACATGGCCGGCAAACCACTCCCACAAAGGAGGCCACACCCACAGAGTAGGTTCAGAAAAATTTTGAAACCCACCACTGGTGGAAGCATATATGTATCACACTGATTTCATGATCTCAGACTGGCCACTAGTTTCCTCTAATGCTATGTGCAAAAAATCAGGGTGATGCCAAAATAAGAGCACTTCAGGGTTGCTGCCAATCAGTCCGGATCAGGCGAACTGGTAGTAGCGGCAGCGGGAGGCTCCGCCTACCCACCCAGACGTTTCTGCGGGAGTGCACCCAAACCGATAGTAAAAAAATTGGCAACCCACTCCTGGAGCACATGCACAGTGACATCATCACAAAAATGCCATGTATATATTCTAATGGCTTTCCTAAAGTTGTACAATCCAAAAAGACCATACAAACTGAGATCAAAAAGAAAGAAGAGAATAAGAAGAAAAGAAATACAAAATGCACTGGGAAAATAAGAAAAGAGAAGAAATAATAAAATAATATTTAAAGAAATAACTACTTATCTTCCTTGCAACAATTACCAACAGATTAATATTTCCCCACCTCTTATGAGATTAAAAACGTAATTCACTTCTTCACATAGTTCCCCCATTCATTTGTAAATCCAAAAACACTGTCTTTTCTATCCAGGTGTTAGCAAGAAGTCTCTAAAAGGTGTCTGGACTTCTATTGAAATAGTTCTCATTTTAATCCTGATCAAATAAGTCAATATTATATTCCTTTCATTTGCTTCTGCCAATTTTAATCTTTAAATAGTCATGGGATTGAATCTCCATTCAATTTTTCCTTTCTCAAAAATTTCTTCAAGGCTTCAGAAACTTTTTTTTTTTATAAATCCAACAATATTGTAAATCCAACCTCCAGATCATATTAAATCTCGTGGTTTATCATTTGTAATTCCACTTTGATTATCACCTCTGCTTTATAATCCAGATTCTTTATTTTCTTTATTACATCTACATTACCTGGGATTTTTTTTCACTTCTTCATCCTGTCTTTCTATAAATTCTTCCATGTTGTCCTTTCACATCTTTCACTTCTTTAGACATTTCTTCAAATAATGTATTTACAGTTCCAGAGATTATTATTGTCATCTTAATTATATATTTCTCTCTGCAGTTCTAAAAAAAAATGTCTCAAATGACATATTTTTGTCTATCATTTTGTAAATTACACCTTTTCTTTTTCCTCCCTAGATCTTTAGTTCCCTCTAGTGTCATATTTTGTATTCCCAAGTTTCTTTGTTTCTATTTTCAACCTTTAGCCAATAAACTTTTTTCTTAATAGACTGAACAATTCATGTTGCCACAAAATATTGCTTGGTGTGCTCAGTTTTTCAAAAGTCATAGCAAATGTTCTAATATTCCAAATTTGTCTAGTTCTTTATCTCGATTTATATCTTTTCAAAAAATTAAATTCTTATTTAGCTTTTTGTCATTTTACTTTTGCAGTTCCTTAAACTGTTAGTTAGCTTTTTTCCTTACCAGGTAACTTTTCAAATATTGTTTGGAAAATCTTTTTAATTTTGAAATAAATCAAAAAGTGATTAGAAAGTGAAGTAGACAAACTCAGTATTCTCAAAGGCTCTACTGCGGTTGAGAGCTTGATAACTTCCCTTGTCTCCCTGACCTCAGACCAACAGGACAACTACTTTCTGAACAAGTTCAAGGGAGCAGCTATCTGAAGCACAGGTGGGCAATTTCTCACCCTCTTCTTATCCAGAGAGGTTCCATTGGACTGAATTTACCACTAATCTATCAGTCATCAGTTGTTGCATCATCAGCCACTCTTTTGGAGATATTTAGTTTATCATTTATTCACCCAGAATTCCCCAACTCATTTTCCAATGTCTGATGCAAACATGTAAGCCACAGAATTTGTGTGAGGATGTCATAATGGATGTATCTTTCTCCTTTCCCTGGATGCTTTTGGACTTCTCTGTCAAACAGTTGCTTGCGTAGGAAACTTGTTGCCAACACCCAATTCCTGATTTTCCTTTGCAACACTCCTTTCTTAAGTTATTTTCACTCTGGATTGTGTATTTAATCCTATCAAGACTTTCATCGAGCAATCTATAACATATGGGATTCATATTTCTCTGCTTTTTTTCTCCTGGTTTAAATCTATTAATTGGTTTTAATATTGTTGACTATTGTATTTTGATGAAGTCTTGACTAACTGCATAATGTCTAAAGTGGTCTTAAAGAACTGTCAACCAATATATTCCTTTTGACTATCTTGCTAAAGCACTTTATTAATGTAATTTATTAAGCTTGAAAAAGAAGTATTAAGTTATTGTTTTGTAGGGATTTCTTATTAATTTTTTCGTATAGTCTAAAACAGGTCAACCTTTTTATACCTACCGCCCACTTTTGTATCTCTGTTAGTAGTAAAATTTTCTAACCGCCCACCGGTTC